CACCATCTTCAAAAGATCTTTGGTAGAGATTTGATAAAAAAATAAGCCATATTAACTTGAACAAATTTGTTTCACCTTGAAATCATCATCCCTAATAGATGTATTGTCTTCATATGATCTTGTTGGAATCGTCAGTTCAATATCTTCACATAGAGGTGAAACTCTCGCTATCATATTATCATGCCTATAGTTATAGCAAGATACATTTGTGCACAAATTGCACCGAGGAAGTGGTACTTCAAGATCAAGAATTGTATATGCTTTAAGCAACTTAAATCCTTCATGGATTGTCACATAAATTAAGTCATATAAGCCATATAGTAGACTTTAGATGCATATCAAGTTTTCATGCCATGCTAGACATATAAGATAGCGAAAACTGATTGCACGTACCATCGACTTTATACTTTCAAGTATTTGAACTATATGTCTTTCATATGAAACCAATTCTATTTGAAATGTTTCTCCAGACATAAGATCCTCATATATATATATATATATATATATATATATATATATATATATATATATATATATATATATATATATATATATATATATNTATCCTTTATGGAAATGGCAAACCGATTCGAGGAATTTCTGACACAAGTATTCAATTAGTTCGGACTTGTTTAGTATTAAATTGGAACCAAGACAAAAAAAGTTCTTCTTGCGAAGAAGCCCGTGCTTCTTTTGTTGAAATAAGGACAAATGGTTTGATTCGACATTTCCTAAGAATCAACTTAGTGAAATCCCCTATTTCGTATATCGGAAAAAGGAATGATACGTCGGGGTCAGGATTGCTCTCTGATAATGGATCAGATTGTACCAATATCAACCCCTTTTCTTCTATTTATTCCTATTCCAAGGCAAAAATTCAACAATCTCTTAACCAATCTCAAGGAACTATTCATACGTTGTTAAATAGAAATAAGGAATGTCAGTCGTTGATAATTTTGTCAGCAGCCAATTGTTCTCGAATAGGGCCATTCAAGGATGTAAAATATCACAGTGTGATAAAAGAATCAATTAAAAAAGATCCCCTAATTCCAATTAGGAATTCATTGGGCCCTTTAGGAACATCCCTTCCAATTGAGAATTTTTATTCATCTTACCATTTAATAACTCATAATCAGATCTTAGTAACTAACTATTTGCAACTTGACAATTTAAAACAGACTTTTCAAGTGATTAAATTAAAATATTATTTAATGGATGAAAATGGAAAAATTTTTAATCCCGATCCATGTCGTACCATTATTTTAAATCCAGTCAATTTGAATTGGTATTTTCTCCATCACAATTATTGTGAAGAGACATCTAAAATAATTAGTCTTGGACAGTTTATTTGTGAAAATGTATGTATAGCCAAAAATGGACCGCCCCTCAAATCGGGTCAAGTTATACTTGTTCAAGTTGACTCGATAGTGATACGATCAGCTAAGCCTTATTTGGCCACCCCCGGAGCAACTGTTCATGGCCATTATGGGGAAACCCTTTACGAAGGAGATACATTAGTTACATTTATATATGAAAAATCGAGATCTGGTGATATAACACAAGGTCTTCCAAAAGTAGAACAGGTGTTAGAAGTGCGTTCGATTGATTCAATATCCATGAATCTAGAAAAGAGGATTGAGGGTTGGAACAAATGTATAACAAGAATTCTTGGAATTCCTTGGGGATTCTTGATTGGTGCTGAGCTAACTATAGCGCAAAGCCGAATCTCTTTGGTTAATAAAATCCAACAGGTTTATCGCTCCCAGGGGGTGCAGATTCATAATAGGCATATAGAAATTATTGTACGTCAAATAACATCAAAAGTGTTGGTTTCAGAAGATGTGCTCTTGCAGAGTTCTCAATTAATTTTTTAGTACCACATATTCATCAACACCCATATGGTGAATATCTCTTTTAAAGAGAAAGTTATACCATTATGGTTATGGTCAAAATTATATGCAAGATTTGTTTCTTGCATTACCGTTGTCTTTTAACAATCACAATGCCAAAATATTTTGGCGTATAATAGGTACGTGACCAATGATCATTCATGCCATAATAATGACATTATTTTCTTATATCATCTCAAACCTCCTTTTAGAGGTGAGTGCGGTATATTCACTACCACCAGCACGTTCATATTCATTGAAGAATGAATATGTATTCATAAATCAGATGTTGTCACATTCACATCATGAATGGACCATAATCATCTATATGTACTTTACAAAATCTCATGTCAAATCGATGACAAATATTTTCACAAGTGGGGGATTATTTTGAGAATCCTTATTATTCTCATTATCACAATGATGACGATTATAATTTCGTCTATTGCCACGTCCACATCCATTGATACATTCATAGTGATAATTTTGTCTTCTTTCAGACTTATCACATACTGCTATCACATTCTCTTAAGGGAATGAGAATGGAGCAAATTCAATGGGACGGGTTTTCAATTCTTGTGCCCATAATCACACATGAATTTGATCATGGCGAGGCATAGAAATTTTACCACTTCAGGTGGTTATAATTTCTTACAAACTCCATTAGAGTTATAATCAAACTTTGTTGTCTTTGCTTGTATTTAAAATCAAAGTATAGAATAAAAAAGAAAAATACGGTAAAATACTTACCTTAAATCCAGAATTTAATCATGAATAAAGTACATGGAACAATTGACAATCATTATGCTCAAACCCAAAGCTTCTACTCAATTGGTTAGAGTCTCGTGCTGATAACGTGTTATAAAATAATAAAAGAAGAAGAAGAGTAGTGCAGAGAAAAGTAGAGGGAGAGAATTCTTATTGATTTGGGATGAATTACAATGGAATAGAACCCTCTATTTATAGGGAGATGATGACTTAGCCACCAAGTAATAAACCCTAGAATCTCTCTAAATATAGACATTCACCATAAATAGAACTCTATTTATAACAAATACAGATAATTTATTGTTTTTGAAGTTCGCTCATAGCAAATTGTCCAAAAACTCGTCAATGATGATGAAGAGATAGCACAATTTAGGAATTGAACAGGGAATATGACTCAGTGATTAAATGTTTGCACTAAAACAATATAATAACATGTGTTTTCAAGTAAATTATTTATTACTTAACTATTATAATAATAACAATAATAATAATAATAAATAATAATGATGATGACGACGACCACGTCAAACAAGTTTGGTAGGCTAGTTTTATTACTCAACTATAATTAAAATGTACGTAATTTTTTCTGTCAAACAAGTGTGTTGATTTTAATACGTGAGTAATGCGCTAATCGTATGGTTTAAATTAGGTTGATTTGTAGAGTAATTTCTCCTGTCATAACATGCAACTTTTTGGGAAAGGATAAGAAAAAGATGAAGAGGAGGCGAAAAGGAAGCAGGTAATAGTAAATGTGTTACTGAACCATAGGAGTAAACAAGGGGGTTGTGATTGGTGAGGAGGTTAAAACTTTAACGACTGAGTTCAACACTTGCATCCAAATTGACATCTTGCAGTGTCCCCAATTCCTCAGAAAAAATACTTTATGGTAAGTTTTTACTCCTATTAAATTAAATATCATCAACTTTAAAAATTACATTAAAACGATAGTGCATATTGTTTTATTATGATTTAGTGATAAATTTTATGAACATATATCTTACATTCATTAATTTATACGAATTCAGTGTAACGTCCTCGACAACTCTGGGTCCCCAATTCCTTTTTCTTGTTCGTAACTAGCTCACTACAAGGACAATTTATTATAAATTGAAAAAAGTCATCGATTTTAGACCAAAGCAATCTCCTTTCTAGTTTATACTAGGCTTCTAGCTTTGGAAATGAGTCCTTAAATTCCCCTAATTGCATTTGCAGTCTTAGCACTTTTTCCTTTTTGAGATATCACACTAATTTTCCTACTTCCACTCATCTATCAGATTCGATCAGGTATATGAAGATATATTATAGTTAGCACACGATCTATTGGAGTTAAATAAGGTATTGCCAGTATTCTAAGCTCGAAAAGGAAGGTAAATCTCTCGCAATTCGTTTAACAAATAAAATATCATTGTACATTATTAACTAATGCCGTTGAGGGGCCGTAAAAAAGATATGGTGATATTGTAAAGATATCTAATTTTACGATAGCAAGTTGCTAGTACTTGGTTTAGTTGTGGTGGAATCTAATTTATTATCATATGCAAAATATCCTAAGCAACTTGCTCAAAATTACATAGTTAAGCAACACAAGGCAATAAGAATTTAGTGAACCCTTTCATTTGTCATCTTGTTTCTCCAGTCCAGAACTAATGATAAGATTCAAAAAATTCGAGAACCAAAGCATTGACACTTTTGTTGTAAAATCAAACACCCGGATTCCTTAAATATAATGCACAAGTACAAAAAAAATTAAGAAAAATTCTAAGCCACAACTTAATTGATTAAATTCATAAAATATACAACAACGTAATAAAAGAAAAAATTGTTTGGCATTACAAATATTAACAATATAATATAAAACGAAACAAATAAACGATAATAGGAATTATTGTTTTATTTCGCATCTAGTATCCGATTAATTTAAATTCATATCGTAACGTGCACTAAAGGAGAAAACTCTCCCTACTAGAATCTTTTTATTCTTAGGATTCGAACCAAAAATTTCATAATAAAAGTGAAAGAAACTTATTCATCCTACCGCAATCCTAGTAGTAAAAAATTATGCTAAGCACGCAATCAAGAATCTCCCCGTTCTTTAATACAATCTTCAAGTTTTTGCCATAAACTTAAGCATAAATCATTAGAACTTCATTATTTCATTCCCATGTGCCAATAGCTAGGTCTCTTCATCACTACGTGCAACTCACATGTCTACTTGTAAAACACAAAATTTCGTTCATAAAAAGAATTTTGTAAAAACAATTAAATTTACCAACCAAAAAACAGAACATAGCATTAATTACATGCCCTGCCCTTGTGACTTTCCTTCTAAGCCTCTAGACCCTCTGCACTCAATAAGTACCCCCTCACTTCCCTCCAGCTCTTCATTCACCTCCAAATTCCCTTCTCCTTTTCCTTTTCCATTTCCATTTCCCTCTTCTCTCTCTCTCTATTTGCTTGTTCACACACTGAAACACTTTAGTGTGGGAGAAAATGGCTGTAACTATGATGCTATGCATTACTACTACTCTTCTCTGTTTTCTCACCGCCGTCAATGCAAAAATCCCCGGCGTTTACACCGGCGGCCCCTGGCAAGGCGCCCATGCCACCTTCTACGGTGGCTCCGACGCCTCTGGCACTATGGGTATCTACTATATATTCTCTCTCTCTGCACATTATTGACATTGAATTAGGTTTTTTTTTTTTTTAATTTACCGGCTTATTTTTGAATTTGTTTGGACAGGTGGAGCTTGTGGATATGGGAATCTGTACAGCCAAGGGTACGGAGTGAACAATGCAGCACTAAGCACAGTCCTATTCAACAATGGACTAAGCTGTGGAGCTTGCTTTGAAATTAAGTGTGTTGACTATGGAAAATGGTGCCTTCCCGGTAACCCGTCCATTTTCGTCACTGCTACAAACTTTTGCCCACCAAATTTCGCTTTGCCAAACGACGACGGTGGGTGGTGCAACCCACCTCGTCCTCATTTTGACTTAGCTATGCCTATGTTTCTCAAAATTGGTCAGTACCGTGCCGGAATTGTCCCCGTCAGTTACCGCCGGTATGTTTTCCGATACACATTCCTTTCGTTTTTCTGTTGCTACTTCTTTAATGCTCTTTACGTTATTCGTCTCCTTTTTGGATTTGATTCGCCTAACTGCTTTCGTGGTTTGCACCAATATGTAATGTCCTTTTTGTCTTGCATAAAAATGCTTGGCTCTTTTATGAGGGGTATTTTTGACATTTCAGAATTGGGTATGGAAAAAGATTATACTTTTCCTTATGGGAAAAGATTTGATGTGTTGAGAAAATCGTGGGATGGGGAATTAATGGGGATAGCGGCCATAACATTTATTTTGTGGGCAGAAACTGCAACTGTTTTTTCGCAAATTTTGACCATATTGTAATTCAATGCTAGCCTAGAGATTATGTTGAACTATAACTAACATAATATTGTTCCCATTTCATGTTATAATTCCAATTTTAGTATGACAAGTTTGTATTAGCTTCTTTATTACTGTTACTCATTTAAATAAGTATTTATTATTTTGGATATAACTCAACACCGGAAAAAAAAATGAGATTTATGATCTTGAATAAATTACAAAATTTGTGTAGTATAAATTTTGAAATTTGTGGCAATAATAAATATGAGTATTTGTATGGCTATAAAAGCTTTTTATTAAGTATAAAATAATAAAAAGTATATTTAAATATACAATTATGCTAATTTTTATTAAATTGAACTAATAAAAGAATAATAGCATAGAAATTGTAATTGATGGATATAGTGATGGAGTATTGTATTTTATGCTATGTTCGGATCTTCCAAAAGTAATACATTTTTAGAGGATTCGACATGAATGCGATAGCATTTTTGGAGTATCAGCACAATTAAGGTTTTATGTGGTTCCATTTGGGACGCCAACAACAATTGTAGGTTTGCATTAACTGCCACCAATTTTCTAACATATTGAGGGTAGTTTTATTATCACTATAATTATTGAATTAGGGTTTGGTCCCCTACCAAGAGGTAAATATGGAACCAACAAAGAAACACGCGTTTTCGTACATCGCGCAAGTAAGGGAATGTTAAAGTTGCAGTTTTTAGGTGATTTTGAGGGTAACAAGGGAATTGTTCCATTCCTAACTGTAAACCTAAGGAAATTGGGATTTGTTCCTTGCTTCGAATTCAGGGATTCGAAACATGGCTCACGTTATCCCACGCGCTTGTTGACCCCACCATCCATGCACCTATTCACTGGGACCCATCTTACCTGAAATACCGGCCACCCTAGTGTTTAATGCTAACAATTTTTTTTGCTTTAGTTCTATTTGTTAGTATAATTTAATTTTTTAAATAATTATGATGTTCGGATTAGCTTGCACTATCGGATAGAAAAAAAATCTTCTAATATTTTTATGTGTACTAGAATTAAACTTGAGATTTTCATGATTTTTAACGCACTTCATTAATCATCAAGTTAATATTTTTGGGTGTTATAATAATTGTTGACTATTATATTTAGGCGCGATTAAAAATATATACTCCTTCTGTTCCAGTTTATGTGAATCTATTTTCTTTTTGGTTCGTTCCAAAAAGAATGACCCGTTTCTAAATTTGGAAATAATTTAGCTTAAACTTTCAATTTTTACTCTTAATTAGAAGTTTTTATAACCACACAAATACTCTGACATGTTTACTACCACAAGGTTCAAAAGAATTATAGCCACACAATATTTTGACTTGTTTAAGACTATAAATTTCAAAACTCTTTATTTTTTTCTTTAAACTCCGTGCTCATTCAAACAGGTTCACTTAAATTGGAACGCAGGGAGTATTTTTTTTTTGAAACTTATAACTACGCATTTATTATCATTTTATCACACCTTTGATGCTTATTGCTAATTGTTTTTCACTTTTTAAAATTTTCAGAGTACCATGCAGAAAAGTAGGAGGGATCCGATTCACAATAAACGGGTTCCGCTACTTCAATTTGCTATTGGTGACAAACGTGGCGGGTGCAGGGGACATCCAGAAGGTTCTCATTAAGGGTACAAACACACAGTGGATAGCAATGAGCCGAAACTGGGGGCAAAATTGGCAAACCAATGCTGTTCTTGTGGGCCAGGCTTTGTCCATTAGGGTTAAAGCCAGTGACCATCGCAGTGTCACCTCTAACAACGTGGCACCCCCTAATTGGCAGTTCGGACAAACCTTTGAGGGGAAGAATTTCCGGGTCTAGATCCAAAATTTAGTATCACTAACCCGACCACAAAATTTTAAGGAAAAAAAAAATCCTACGTATGATTTTTCCTAGGCTTCAGTGTTTCTCTTTTTTACTGGGAAATTTTGAAGTCCGAGGGGGAAGTAGTATCTTCTTTTTTTACCTTCTTTGTCAACTTTATGGGGAATTGGTTTTTCTTTTTCTACTTTGGTGTCCTTTTTTTGTTTTTTACTTTTTGTTATGAAGTGGTGTGATGGTAAAAGTGAAAAAGATAATGGAGGCTGAAGCGGCTGCAAAAGCACCCAAAAGAATAGGGTAAGCCCGCAGCTCATAGTGATGTGTAATGGAACATCATATGTTTCCTATGAATACGAAGATAATATACTTTCTATTTTATATATGTTTTGGCATTTTTTTAATACATCTTTTATATTGTTGTCCTGTTTTTCATTTACACAAAACTGAGAGATAATGTCCCAAATGCTAAATCTCATTTTCTTCATGATAGTACTGCAAAATACTTGACTTCCTCAGTAGATAATAGTACTGTGTATTAAACATCGTGAGCTGACATGAGTCAAACAAAATGAAACAGCATTTTGACCGACTACAAGAAAAGCAAAAAAAAAAAAAAAAAAAAAGGGTCAAATTGCTTCTTTGATTGAAAATTGAGTATTCATCAAAAAACTTCAAAGCTTTGGTTTACTGAACAATGAATTAAGTAATCATCTTTATGCGGTTAAGAATATTCAATCAAGATGTGGTCCACTATTCCCATTCTCTCAAATAGTTGTCATGTTTCACTTCTCCAGAGTCAAACTATGTTAAATTTTGACCAACATTTTTAAATGAATGTTTTTATCATATTAATATGAGAAAAATTGTACTAATTTCTACTCCCTCCGATCCAAAATAAGTAATTTTTTGGTATTTTTTTTGGTGGTCCAAAATAAGTGATTTTTCTAGATTTCAAGAATGAATTAATTATTTTTTTCCTACATTGTCCTTGGAGTAAATAGTGTTGGAATATGTGTTAGGAGTGTTTATGTGAGATACTCCCTCCGGTCCAAAATAAGTGATTTTTTGGATGTTTTCACACAGATTAAGAAACCCACCTTTTAGCATTAATTAGCAATAAAATTGACCATGTTAACCTTTACTATCTCACATANAATTGACCATGTTAACCTTTACTATCTCACATAAACACTCCTAACACATATTCCAACACTATTTACTCCAAAGACAATATAGGAAAAAAATAATTAATTCATTCTTGAAATCTGGAAAAATCACTTATTTTGGACCACAAAAAAATACCAAAAAATCACTTATTTTGGACCGAAGGGAGTAGTAAAGGTTAACATGGTCAATTTTATTGCTAATTAATGCTAAAAGGTGAGTTTCTTAATCTGTGTGAAAACATCCAAAAAAATCACTTATTTTGGACCGGAGGGATTATCATATAGTATTGAATATCTAAATTCCGGTGTCACGACCCGGATTTTTCCCACCATCGGGCGTCGTGATGACGCCTACTAACGTAGCTAGGCCAGCCATACATTAAACATTTGCTATTCAACCTCAACAATATAATATACTAATAACAGTTAAAGAAATGCGGAAGACTTTAAGTTTAACAAAAAGATATAAAAATGCGGAAGTTTGAAACACATCCCTACCCAAAATCTGGTGTCACTAGCTCACGGACTACTATAGAATACTACAACAAGTCTGAATGAAAGAAATACACATGTCTGTTTCGGTACAATGAAAACAAACTGAAATAAGGAAAGGGACTTCGGCCTGCGAACGCCAGCTAGGCTACCTCGAGAGTCCCTGGACTGAAGATAGCTCCCGGATAAGAATCCTACTGCTGCTATCCAAAAGCTGCTCCTGGATCTGTGCACAAAGAAATGCACAGAGTGTAGCATCAGCACAACCGGCCCCATGTGCTGGTAAGTGTCTGGCCTAACCCCGGCGAAGTAGTGACGAGGCTAGACAGGACTACCAAACCAACCTGTACAATTTTTATATACAAATATGCAACAAAAAGGAAAGAAAATACCGAAACTAAACAGTTAAAAGGGAGGGAAACATACTATGGGGAGAGTACAAATTTGGAAATAAAGTTCATCAGCGTAATTAAGAAACATGGTACAACAATAATTATCAAAGAATAAGAAATTCAATAGTTGCACGGCATCACCCTTCGTGCTTTTACTCTCAATCTCACCCAAAGCAATCAAATAAAATGCACGGCATCACCCTTCGTGCTTTCCCTCACATAGCTCTCATCTCATGGCACGGAATGACCCTTCGTGCAAATATAATCAAATCAGAGCACGGAATGTACCTTCGTGCATAAATAGTCAAAACATAGCACGGAATGACCCTTCGTACAAATATAATCAAGAATAGCACGGAATGACCCTTCGTGCAAATATAATCAAGAATAGCACGGAATGACCCTTCGTGCAATTTCACTCTTCCTCACCCAAATGGTTCGACCGCCCGGTACCGTCTTAAATCATGCGTTAAGCGCTTCTCCCCATTAGTTAAAAATTGGTCGAAAATCGGACCGTCGTGACGTGTTTCGGACCATAAATACCTAAAAGTTGAAGGGTTAGGAACTTTCGAAATTGTAAATGAGTTTTGTGGGTGATTCTTTTGATTGATGTCTTATTTTACGATTTGATCGCCGCATCGAGCCAAGTTCGTAAGATGAATTGGAAATTAGTGTGTTGTGTTTGGTGGGAGCCCGAGATGCTCGGGCGAAGTGTTCGGACGGTGGTTCGGAGGTGTTTACACTTTAGAAAGTTTAGCAATTTTTCTGCAATTTCTGCCAGGCCTATTGTTCTACGGCGAACGCGACCTTGTCCCGCTGTCGCGTGCCTGTACCCCAGCCTTTCTCGCGTTTCGCGTTGATAAAGGCCACGCCTTCGCATAGCTTCCCTTGCCTCCCTTCTTCGCGTTCGCATACCAGTCTCGCGAACGCATAGCCAATATCTGGTGAACCCCAACTGTCCTTCATCGCATTCGCGAGCCTCCCCGCGTTCGCGTATAAGCCTGCCCAGACCCCCAGCATTTCTTCTACGCGTTCGCCTTCCCTTCAACGCGACGCGATGCCTGCCCATTTTCCTTTCATCGCGAAACGCGACCGGGGTGTCGCGAACGCGGATGAACAATTTTGCCCAGTTATTTTAAAAGACTAAAACAGTTAGCCATTACGGGATTTTGCCATCTTCTTCACACGAACCTCTCTCTCAAATCCTCCATAGACGAAATTCAAGTTCCCTTTCCTCCACAAACTCGTTGGGCACAGTAATCTAACATCGTTCCTCATTATTTTATCATCTAATCACTGAAATCTAGGCCTAAAAAACATGAAATCAAGGTAGAAATTAGGGCTTTTGGGTAGAGTTAGGTTTTTTGAAAATTTTGGGAGATTTTCAACCTCAATTTGGGGTCGGATCTTGAAAACAAATTTAATATTTGAAACTCGTGGGGTTAGTGGGTGATTGGAATTTGGTCCGAGCCTCGAGTTGGACCATGTGGGCCGGTGTCGGATTTTGCTATTTTGGAAGAATGGTAGGAAATTCATTTCTAGGCTATGGATTATGTTGTTGAGCCTCAGTTGATATTATTGAATTAATTATGAATAGATATCATTGTTTCGGAGTCGAATTCTAGAGGAAAGGCGGTGTTAGAGGCTTGATTGCTATTTTCGGACCGAGGTAAGTGTTTGATCTAACTTTGCTTGAGGGAATTAGAGATTAGAGTTTCATGAATTGCTATTTTACTAATTGATCGAGTACGTGTATAGGCGTGGTGACGAGTTGTCTACACACCGGAGTCTAGCATGACCGTGGTCTTTGTTTGTACTTGTTTTTGAGGTAATTTGGAAACTCTTCCAAGCTACAACATGTTTTTCTGCAAAGTGAAGAGTTTGAGGATAAGTTGTTGAAATATTAATAGTTTGGAGCATTTGGCTCGAGTGATAAATTACATTTGAGTAAGAGATGAACGTATTGAAAAGAGTTGTGATTAATCCCTTGCTGGGATGGTTTGATTCACAGTGAGTATTGCCCTTGCCGGTTGTGAAAGATATTGTATTGTTCCCTTGCCGGGACTTGGTTGTTATTTGTTATTTCCCTTGCCGGAGTAGTTCATATTACTTGTTATTCCTCTTGCCCGTTTGGTGTGACTTGTTA